GAGCTGTGTTCAGCTCTCAGTGTGTCAAAGGACACAGTTGTGGTGTGGCTGATGCTGATCCTGGGCTGTTGTGGATCCCTGGGACGAGCCAAGGCCCGAGGGCTGAACTCCTCATCACTGGGTGTTTTGGGGGTGTGGGATTCTGCCCCCAGCTGTGCCATGTGCTCGTTGTGATGTCCTTTCCTGTGTCCTGCAGGTACAAGCACGACAGCTCTGCCGTTGTTGGGAATGCCAAGGGCCACGGGCAGAACCGGGAGACGGTGCAGGAGCGGAGGAAGAAGGAGGCGAACAAAAGCACCAGGGCCAACCACAACCGGCGGGCCATGGCCGACCGGAAGCGCAGCAAGGGCATGATCCCCTCCTGAGGGACTCCTGGCCGGGGGTGGCACCGTCCCCAGCCTCCTGCTCAGGAGTTTGGCTCGGTGTCCTCGGCATTCCCTGTGCTCAGGGGGCTGGATGTCCTGGTTCAACACCTGGCACTGCAGCTCCTGTGGAACGGCGTTCCCTGTGGGAGCGCTGCCTGTTCCCGGGAAGGAGCAGGCCCTGAGCCTCCTCGGTTCACAGACACACACGTGTGTGCTGGTGGCTGCACCCAATACACCGGACAGGCTGCACCAGCCCCTCCTTCCCTTTTGTACTATTTATAATTTGCAGAGTTTTATTTTCATACTGATCCCTGTGCCCTCCCTGCTGCTCCCGGGGGCTCCGTGGCCTCCCTGGGACAGCCCCCAGCTCTCTGCTCCACTGAAATGCCTTATCCTGAACTGGAATCATAGAATATCCCAAGGAAGGGACCCACAAGGATCATCCAGGCCAACTCCTATCCCTGCACAGACACCCCAACATGTCCCTGCACACACACCTCAACAATCCCACCCTGTCCCTCAGAGCGTTGTCCAAACCCTCCTGGAGCTCTGGCAGCCTTGGGGCTGTGCCCACTGCCCTGGGGAGCCTGGGCAGTGCCCAACCAGCCTCTGGGGGAAGAACCTTTGCCTGAGATCCAACCTAGCCCTCCCTGGCACGGCTCCATGCTGGCAGGGAACTGCTCAGGCTGTTCCCACTGCCGACAGACCCACAGGAGTTGAGGGGAATAAGGCCTTGCCATAGATTTCTGTCCCTTGAGTGAGGCCTGTGAAAACAGACCATGGCAAATAAATGATTGAGATGTTTCAGGTGGTGTTTTAGGCTCTCACAGACAGGATTGATCTGTAACTCAGAGGAACCTCCACAGGCCTCTCAGTGCTGGATCTGCAGGCGGGGAAATTCTCTCCCTGCTCTGTGTTGGTTCAGTGTAATGAGATTTACCCACAGCCACGGAGACCAAAGATGCTGGAAAATGAGGATCTAATGCTAAGCAGGATGCCAGTGGTGTGGAAATCCAGGCTGAAGGCAGTAGGTCGGAGTCCCCGGGAGTTGCCTCCTCAGTAACCCCCCGTCCCACCCCGTGAGGCAGAACTGCCCCCACCACCCTTTGCTGGGGCAAGGCTGGGAGCTGAGAGTGACTTGCTGAGGGGCTCCTCCCGAGGGCTGGATTTTGTCAGGGAGTTGTTCCCTGGGCAGGGAGACACAGAAATTACCAGGTGACCTGTGTGTGAGGTGCTCAGATGCCACAGCAGTGGCTGCAACTCTACCTGGGCATCCCGGACTCAGCTGCCCACAGGTGGTGATAGAGTTGTTCCAGTTGTCATGGAGCGTTGGGATGTTTTGGAGTGCTGTCCTTATCATGGAGATGAACTTCCCGGCAACCAATTAGCCTTTGCTTTATTAATTGACTTGGTTAATCTGCCCTGAGTGGCATCTTCCACCACCCTGTATTTTCTAGAACTGCAGAGGTGCCTGTGGCTGTCACCCCCCACGCTGAGAAAATGAGCAGGGGATGATGATCCAGGGTAATCCCAGAGCTGCAGCAGGAGCAGGGTGGTAGTAAAGTGGTAGTAAGGTGGCAGTAAGGTCTGTAGACATACCTTGGTGCCTGGTTTAACTCCGAGGGGACTGGGGTGTGACTGGAGCTGCTGTGGGGCTGTTGGCAGAGCAGCACAAATGCAGCAGAACTGCCACTGCCACGACAGGAGGTGAAGTCCTGAGTGCTCTGAGGAGATTTTTCTTTCAAACCTCCTGATGACAGGTAGAGGAAAAATGGAATTGCATTCACCACTGTCCCCAAATCCTGTGTCCAGGGCAATCCCCTGCTAGGGTAACTCTGCTCTCCTGCAGCTCCTGCTCTCTGGGCTCGTGGCTCAGCCCCTCCCTGCTGCCCACTGCAGTGCTGTCTCCCCCTCATCCTGTATTCAGCTTTGGTTCCCGCTGCTCAGAAGCTGCACCTCTCTCTGAGCTGCTCAGCGTGGAGCAGCAGCACTGCAGAGCCAGCTGGCACCACGGGCTGGGGCTGTCCCGGGAACGCTGAAACCTTCCCCTTGAACGTCTCCAGAGAGCACAGCTGGGACTGGCACAGCTGGGGTTGGGTTTTGCTCTAAAAACACGATGTTTTTTAAGTGTGTTTAGAGTAAATGTTTCCCCCCTGGTGCCCATTTGCAAAGCCAATAAAGCTGCCGCCCCCAGCACTGGCTCTAACGGGCTCTGCCCCAGTCGTGGCTAAAATTCCTCCTGATTAGGGAAAATGGAGGGAAGAGGGATAGATGTGGCTGCTGGGCTGGGGAAGGGGGAAGAGCAGGAATCACTGAGCCAGATCTCCCAAGAGAGCTGAGTGATTAACTGGATCGTTACCCCAAACAGTACCCAAACATCCCTTCCTGGGAATAAAGAGGTGTTTGACAGAGTCAGAGTCAGGGCTGGGCTCCTCAGTGAGGCTGCTGAGGAGGGAATGGCTCTGCCCAGGGCAGGGGGATGGAACTGGATCATCTTTAAGGTCCCTTCCCATCCCAACCATTCCATGACTCCCCTGATTGAGCTGCTGGGGGGGACAGACCAATTCCTCTCCCTGCCCAGCAGCTCCCCTCGGATCCCAGGGTGGGGGCAGGCTGGTGGTACCACACAAACCTACAGGACTTCTGCCCCTCAAGCCATCTGAAGAGCCAGAAGGCACAGAAATAATTAGGGAACGGATCCACATCCCCTTTGAGGAGGTTTTGGACCACCCCCACCCCCCCATTTTCAGCCCAGCAGTGCTGGGCACACTCAGCCTGCTCAGAGCTCAAGGGGCCAGTGCTGGGCAGATTTACCACTGTTAGGGCAGGGAGAGGGGCCAGGAACCTCCCCCAGCCCTGTACAGCACCTACCACAGATGATGTAAATGATTTTAAGCCCCTTCTCTGTGAACAGGCCAGAAGAAAGACAAGAGCTGCTCCTCCCTCTCCAGGTTCTCCTCAGGCAGAGGCCAAGGGTTGTCACTAAACCACAGCTCTGTAAGTGCTTCCAAGCCTTTCCAACCATTTTTAGGAGGTTGTGATTCCTTCCAATGCCTTGGAACTAAGGAGTGGGGCTGCACTGAACCACTCTCCATCTCCTGGAGAAGGAGGAGCCCCAAGGAAGCCAAAGGATGGGTGAGGTGAACACACACACATGAGACAAGGACCAGAGTTTTATTTGAACACCGTGAGTCAAGAAGAGCAGCAGCAGCACCCCCGAGTCCATCCTGCCTCACATCAGCTCAGGGGGGGCTGATACACTCTGGCTTGGAGTTGTTCCATCAGGAATCCATTCCCAGTTTCAGGAGGCCAAATCCTTCCCTGCTCCTTCCTGGCTCCTGCTGCTGAGCTGCTCAGTTCTCATACTTGTGCTTGATGTGTTTCCACAGTTTCTGGGTGCAAAACAAAGGCTTTTCAGAGGTGCTGGGATAACATTTCACTCTAAAATGCTATTTCATAGTTTATGTTTCATAGTCACCCTGCCTGGGGAGGTGGTGAGGGAGCCCTGGACTGGATGTGAGGGACACGGGGCTCCTGGCTTTTAGTCTGGACAGGGAGGAAGCTGCAGAACATCCCCTTCCCCCTGCTCTGGATTGGAGTATCCCAGTCACCCTGGCTTGAATTCCCACCCAGACCAGAGAGAGCAGTTCTGCTCCTGGAGCTATGGGAACAGAACAATCCTAGTCACAGAATCCTGGAATGGTTTGGAAGGGACCTTAAAGCCCACCCAGTCCCACCCCCCGCCATGGTCAGGGACACCTTCCACTAGCCCAGGTTGCTCCAAGCCCTGTCCAACCTGGTCTGGGACACCTCCAGGGATCCAGGGGCAGCCACAGCTTCTCTGGGCAACCTGGGCCAGGGCCTCCCCACCCTCACAGGGAAGGATTTCTTCCCAATCTCCCATCTATCCCTGCCCTCTGGCAGTGGGAAGCCATTCCCTGTGTCCTGTTCTTCCACCCCTTGTCTCAAGCCCCTCTCCAGCTCTCCTGGAGCCCCTTTAAGCCCTGCAAGGGGCTCTCAGCTCGCCCTGGATCCTTCTCTTCCCCAGGGGAACAGGAAGCCTCTGTTTGTCCCCTGCACGTGACCGTGTGCCCGGCAGTCATTATCCCGTCACAGCCGTGCTTGGGAACACAAGGACGACCTGATCCCTCTCACCCCAGCTCACCCCGGGACTCTGGTGCCGTGTCCCAGCACGACCGGGCAGCGCCCACGCCCTCTCTGTGCCCGGGGCCGCTCGGCCGAGCCGGGGGCACACAGAGCACAGAAGCAGCTCCTTCTCCCGCTCCTGCTCCCACCGCCTCCCACGGCCCTTCCAGCGGCTCCGCAGCCGGAGGAGCCCGAGGACAGCCCGAAGCCGGGACCGCCGAGCGCCACGAGAGCCGTGGAGCCCCCCGGGCTGGGGCCAAACCGCGGGGCCGGGGACGGCTTAGGGACAGCCTGGGGACGGCCCGGGACACCTGAGGAACGGCCCAGGGACGCGTTAGGAACAGTTTAGGAACGGCCCGGGACAGTTTAGGAACGGCCCGGGGACGCGTTAGGAACAGTTTAGGAACGGCCCAGGGACGCGTTAGGAACAGTTTAGGAACGGCCCAGGGACGCGTTAGGAACAGTTTAGGAACGGCCCGGGACAGTTTAGGAACGGCCCGGGGCCTGCTCTGGGCGGGGCGCACCGGGGCCGGCCTGACCTTCAGCGCAGGCCCGCGCGCCGGGGGCCTCTCCGGCCTCTCCCCCCGCCTTACCCCCTCGTTGAGCTGCTCGAAGAGCGCGTCGGCGCCCTGGTCGAAGGCGCGCTCGAACAGGATGGCGCCCAGCACGACGGACAGCGCGAAGGTGGAGGTGCGGCGGAAGAGCGCCCCGTACACCTGCCGCAGCAGCGCCATCTTGGCCGCGCGCACCGCGCCTGCGCGGCCCCGCGGGGGTTGATGGGGGGTGTAGGCGGTGCTGGGAGAGCGGGGTGCAGTGCTCTGCGTGCGCGCGGGGCATTGTGGGAGTTGTAGGCGGTGCCGGGAGTGCCGGGCGGTGTGCTCGGGGGCGCGCGGGGCATTGTGGGAGATGTAGGCGGCGCGGCGCTGGCCCGGCTGGAGGTGCGTGAGCGGGGCCTTGGGGAGCGGGGAGGGGTGGGGGACTCTGTAAGGGATCCCTGTGAGGGCTCCATGTGAGGGGTCGCGGTGACGGGTCCGTGTGAGGGCTCTGTGTGAGGGCCCCGTGAGGGGTCGCTGTGAGGAGGGTCCCGCTCGGCCCCGTCCCGCCCCCTTCCCCTCAGAGGCCCCGCCGGGCAGCCCGAGGGTTTAGGTCCGGCTTTGTGCCTTGAAACCAGCCCGGCCACGGCTGTGGGGGGACCCAGACCGGGCTGAGGGGTCTGAGGGGGCAGAGTCACCCCTGCCCTGCCCTGCCCTGCCAGGGTGCCCTCCAGGGGTGACGGGGACACGAAGGGGTTGTGGTCACTGCCCTCTGCCTACCCCTGGCGGAGGGGGGGCAGTTTGGGTGTTTTCTGGCAGTTTGGGGCTGTGGAGGGTGGTCGGTGACGGTGTGGGGTGAGAGGGAGAGTGGTGTGGACCTCATAAATCATGGAATTATGGAATGGTTTGTGTTGGAAGGGACCTTAAAGCCCATCCAGTCCCACCCCCTGCCATGGGCAGGAACACCTCCCACCAGCCCAGGTTGCTCCAAGCCCCGTCCAACCTGGCCTTGGACACTTCCAGGGATCCAGGGGCAGCCACAGCTTCTCTGGGCAACCTGTGCCAGAGGACCCTGAGGCTCCAGAGGCCTCGGGAACAGTGAGATGTGGCCCCATGTGGCAGAACAGAAGTGGGAACATTCCCTTTTGCCACCTTCTCCTCGTGTTTTTCTTTGTTTAACCTCAGTAAGGGCAGAGGGGTCCCAGGGTGGCTCCAGCACAGGTGGGACAGAGAGGCAAATTTGGGGTTAGGAAAGCAGGACAGACACTGGGGACTCAGGAATCCTGAAATTGAAGCTGTTCCCCCTCAGGGTTGTTGCTAAATGAGCATCTACATGAAATTCCAAAGCGGACCCTCAAGTGACTCTGCTCTGTCGTTTTGTTTGTCTCACCCACTCAGAAATAGCACAAGGTCTGGCTGCAGAGTCACTTCTGATTTATTTATGTTTGGTTCTCTCATACAGTGACTGTGGGGATCTGTGGGATTTTTTCTGGGTTAGGGAAAAGCCTCTGCTCGTGCTGGAAGCCTGGAATGTGCCTGACACATTCCTGTGCTCTGTGTGTGGTGTTATACCTTTGGAATTACAGAATATCCTGAGCTGGGAGGGACCCAAGAGGATCATCCAGTCCAACTCCTGGCCCTGCACAGACACCCAACAATCCCACCCTGTCCCTCAGAGCGTTGTCCAAACCCTCCTGGAGCTCTGGCAGCCTTGGGGCTGTGCCCACTGCCCTGGGGAGCCTGGGCAGTGCCCAACCAGCCTCTGGGGGAAGAACCTTTGCCTGAGATCCAACCTGAGCCTGCCCTGACACAGCTCCAGCCATTCCCTGGCTGCTGTCCCTGCTCACACAGAGCAGAGGTTGGAAAAGCTCAGTTGTTATTTTTCAAATTTAAGTGCTCAGGATTATCTAAGACAAATCTCCCCAACAGCCGGTGAATTGCTGCCACCGGGCAGGTCTGTGTATGGTCAGGCTGGTGGTAATCCCAAATTGAGCCCTGGATTTCCAGAGGAAGGTGTCCCTGCCCATGGAAGGGGGTGGAATGAGATGGGCTTTGAAGTGCCTTCCAACCCAACCCATTCCCTGATGATTCCACAACAGGACAAGGGCGAGTGGCTTCCCACTGCCAGAGGGCAGGGTTAGGTGAGATATTGGGAAGGAATTCCTCCCTGTGAGGTGGGGAAGGGCTGGGATTGAATTCCCAGAGCAGCTGTGGCTGTCCTTGGATCCCTGGAAGTGTCCAAGGCCAGGTTGGACGGGGCTTGGAGCACCCTGGGCTAGTGGAAGGTGTCCCTGCCCATGGCAGGGGGTGGCTTTAAGGTCCCTTCCCACCCAAATCACTCCATGATTCCATGATTTACTTGAGGTAAATGGACAGCAGGACCTGTCCCTCTGTCACTGGAAGGTGCCAGCAGACTCCGCTGCCAGCCCAGGGCTCCCTGCAGATCTGAGCCCATTTAAATTGGCAGCTGAGTGTCATAAGCTTGACACTTGGATTTAATTAACTTCACATCTGCCTGGATATCCAAAGTGGCTGGAATGGCCCCAGGCCTGGGCTGTGAGAAGGCAGGAAATTGAGGTCAGGGCCCAGCAGCAGCTCTTGGGGTTCCACCCAGGCACAGACGAGTCCGTGTGTGCCCATTTCAGGGTCACCTTCCTCCCCCTGCCCGGTGAGACACCCCCAGGAGTCCTGGATAAAATCTGTAGCTGGCACAGAGCAACGTGGAGTGTTTTGGCAGCAGCTGGAGAAGGGAAAACGTGGGATGGTGCACGGGAGATCTGGGTTGGACTGGTCCCAAGCCCCTCACTGGCTGTGCCACACCTGGGAGGTGCCTCAGTGCTCCAGGAGGCACAGCAGAGGAGTTGTGTTATACTTTTATACAAGACAAAGCCCCTGTGGGGGTTTTTTGTGTTTGCCTTTCTTCAGGGACTCTTTCCAGCTGGCCTAGGGCCTGACTGGAAGCGTTTGTGGCTGTGGAGGGTCCGGGGGTCTCAGCTCCTCAATTCAGTTGCAAATCAGGGTCTGGAGATGTTGAGAGGAAACGGCCGAGCCGGGGCTGTGCTTTACAGGGCAGCTACATTTACTTTATTTCATAATGGCCAAGCTGGATTTAATTAGGAACCATCTCTGATCACAGCTGAATAATGCTCTTTGTTTATGGCTGGAGCCGTTTGGGGAGATGGAAATAGGCTGGTGCTGCTCAGAAGCAGCTTTGATTCCTCCGGACCCGCCGAGCGCTGGTGCTGCAGAGAGTTGGCAGAATCCAGCCAGATTTCCATGCAGTGGAATCCTTAAAAAGACGGGAATAAGTGTTGGGTGTGATCACTGGAGGGGCAATCTCGGTGAGAACCCGATGCTCCTCTAATTGCTTTGCTCATTGCTTCGTCCCCTGCAATGGGAATTGCTTGGAGAATTTGGGAGCAGGCAGCTGTGGGATCTGCCTGGAATCTGTAGGAGCTTTCTGCCTTGTTTTCTTGGGGGGGGGGGAAAGGAGGGGGAAGGAGCTTCTGCAATTATTGCTGTCGGGGTGATGAAAGGGAAAGTTTGAAACCCGATTTCAAAGGCTGGCTGCTGCTGGGCTTCCGCAGGCACAATTCCCTGGGAGAGCTCTGGAAACTTGTGTGGGACCACTGCAGAATCTCATTTGTTTTCCCTGTTTGCAGCATCTCTGCTTCTGCAGAGATGGAGTGCAGGAGCCAGAGCCGAGACAGGGAGCTTTTTATGTCACCAGGAACTTTGGGAGACTATGGAATGAGATGTGAAAGAGGGATTTTTCGGTACTCAAAAGCAGAGCCTGCCGGTGGGCCAGATATGTTCCCTTTGGATTCCAGCAGCCCCACCACAGTGCAGCAAAGCTGGCTGGAAAACTCTGGGATGATCCAGTGAAGGATGAGGGAATTTATGGATCCCTGTTCATCAAACAGCACTTGGGTTTGGTTACTTGGGCTGCAGCAGGACAGTTTCAGACCTCAAGCCCTACGGAGCTGTTACACATTCCATGCAGGAGCCAGGTTTGTGGATCAACTTTGACCACCTCCAACAAGATATTTCACCTGGAGAATCATGGAATGGTTTGGGTTGGAAGGGATGTTAAAGCTCATCCATTCCACCCCCTGCCATGGGCAGGGACACCTCCCACCAGCCCAGGTTGCTCCAAGCCCTGTCCAACCTGGCCTTGGACACTTCCAGGGATCCAGGGGCAGCCACAGCTTCTCTGGGCAACCTGTGCCAGGGCCTCCCCACCCTCACAGCCAGCAATTCCTTCCCAATCTCCCATCTATCCCTGCCCTCTGGCAGTGGGAAGCCATTCCCCCTTGTCCTGTCCCTCCATCCCTTGTCCCCAGTCCCTCTCCAGCTCTCCTGGAGCCCCTTTAGGCCCTGCCAGGGGCTCTCAGCTCTCCCTGGAGCCTTCTCTTCTCCAGGGGAACCCCCCCAGCTCTCCCAGCCTGGCTCCAGAGCAGAGGGGCTCCAGCCCTGGCAGCATCTCCGGGGCCTCCTCTGGACTCTCTCCAGCAGCTCCACATCCTCCCTGTGCTGTTCCCAGGGCTGAAGCAGCTCTGCAGGGGGGTCTCACCTGAGGGGGCAGAGGGGCAGAATCCCCCTGCCCTGCTGCCCACGCTGGGGGATCAGCCCAGGGCACGAGGGGGATTCTGGGTGCTGGGGCAGGTCCAGCCCCTCACCCACCAAGGAAAGGACCTTAAACCAACGAGGTTTCCAGTCCCGTTGGACTCTCTGAGTGTTTCACCTTCAGTGTGGAGGTTTTCAAGCCGACTCAAAACAATCAGAAAATTATTCCATCAAATGCAGCTGGAGGCAGCTTCGCTTGTGGTCTGAGGCCTCAGAGATTTCCAGCAATTTGACTTTGAAGCAGCAGTTCTGGGGAGCAGGGGAGGGAAAGGAGTGTGGTGCCTGGATGGATGGGTGGATGGATGAATGGATGGATGGATGGATGGATGGATGGATGGATGGGTGGGTGGATGGATGGCAGGCAGAAGGCTTGGCAGCCCCGCCTGAGCTCGGCACACCGGGCTCTGAGGGATTGCCTGGAGCTCTGCTCTTCCTGCTGAGCCTGAGGAATCATCTGGGAGGTTGTGATTGATTCTGGCCCTGTTTTATTTAGAAAATCTTTATTTCTTGCGCTGCTCTCCGTGCCATTTTTTAAATGCATTCTGCTGTCAAGGTGTCAAAACGTGGAGAGTTACTTTTGGAGTTTATCTCCCAGTCCATCCGTCTTTGGCTTTCATCAGGTACCTTCATATCCCGCAGGAAGGAACTTGCAGCTCCTTCAGGGTGTCTGTGGCACCTCCAGCAGGGATATCCCATGGGATGGGTGCCTCAAAGGTAAAACACAGGCTGACCTCACCTGGAGCATGGATGGGAGCTCCCAGATTCTGTCCTGTCTCTCCTCAGTTCTCCTCGTCAGAGTCTCCAGGCTACAGCTGCATGTGTGATATGCTTCCCTCTTCCCTGGGGGAGAAGGACCAGGAATCTCCAGGTTGTTTTCAGTGGCTGTGGAGTGGGGGTTCTTTTTTCCTGGCTGTAGGGCTGGTGTGACCTTAGTGGTGTGCTCGGGGCAGACACACCTTGGTGCCACAGGCTGGGGAGGGTGAGGGGAGCAGGCCGTGATGTGCAGGACAAAAGGGGTGTCTGGGTGGGCTGAAGGCAATGTTATGTCCTGTAGTGTTTGCAGTGCAGCTTCCCACCTGCAGGATTGGTGAGATCAGCTTTTGTTTTATCTTTGAGGATAAAACAAGTACCTTTGCTGAGTTCCTTCCTTTCCTTGCCAAGGTGGACACGAGGGAATTTCCTTCCTCCTATATGGCAGCTCATGGAGATTGTGGTTCAAGGTCCCCAGGACCTCCAGCTCCTCCTGTTTGCACCCTGGATGGTTTCTGGTGCACCTTCCCTGGAGCCTTTGGCTCTCTGGATCTCTGTTTTGTGTGATCTGGACACAGGGAAGGAGAATTCTTCCAGCAGAGCTGTTGCTGCTTTGTGACAGAGATAAATGCAGATCCAAGCCTTGTCTCCCATGTGCAGGCAGCAGATCCTGCCCCAGCAGCCTGTGATGGACAAGGATATAAACTGTTGGGTCTCACCTCTCTCTCTGTCTGCCAAGCCCAAGTGATTTGAGTTCTCCTCCTTTGGAAGCAGGCGCTGTAAATCCTGGATCCTCCGTTCCCATGGCTGGGTGCCGAGGAACTGCCTGATGGTTCCCAGGCCGTGCTGAGGCTGCTCTGCCAGGACAGAGATGGGGAAAAGGTACTTCTGTGACTACTGTGACAGGTCCTTCCAGGACAACCTGCACAACAGGAAGAAACACCTCAATGGAGTGCAGCATCTCCGGGCTAAGAGAGTCTGGTACGACTTATTCCGAGGTGGGTGCTCCCAGCTGTCTGCCCCTCCCTTCCTGGGGCTGGGGAGGGGATGGATGAGGTGGGGCAGTGGGAATAGAAAATAAATCAGCACTGGTGGTTTATACACACTGATGACTCTGTGCCCTGATGCTGTTGCATCAAGCAGTCGCAGAGGCAAAACGAAGACAGGCTCTGACTTGTCTCACTTGTCGGTGCCACCTGAGGAATGCTGGGGGAATGTGCATCCAGGGTCTGAGAAGGGAGCAGGGCAGTGCGTTCTGGCTGTAGCAAAGACTGAGTTTGGGTTCAGCTGGCTGTGAGACCATTGCCTGTGTGTTCCTGTGCTTCCTTGTGGTTCCTGAGCTGTTTGGGCCAGGGCACGGGGTCTTTACCTGCTCTCACCCGTTGTCTCCCCAGATGCCGCCGCTATCCTGCAGGAGGAGCAAACCAAGAAACCCTGTCGGAAGTTCCTGCAGACAGGTGAGGAGTTCTGAGGTGCAAATAAGTCCCTGAGCTCCAGCAGCTCCTTGGAGGGCCAGCCCAAGGCTGGAGTGAGGGGCTTGGGCCTGTGTGTCCAGCATCTGGCTGGGAGGGGTGATGGAAGTGGAGCTTGGGTTTGCCTGCACAAGGCAGGGTCTCCTGTGGGCAGGTCTCACAGAGCTCCGTGGCTTTTCCAAGTTTGGAAAAGACCTTTAACATCACCAAGTGCACCCATCAACCCAGCACCACCATGGTCACCCTTAAACCACATCTTCCTTCAAGTGCCACATCCACAAGTGTGTTTTTTAAACACTTCCAGGGGTGGTGACTCCTCCATTCCAATGCTTTACAACCCTTTCCATGAAAATTTTTTTCCTGATATCTAACCTAGTGGATTTTGAAATTGAAATTTGAATTTCCAAATCTCCCCATTTGTTCCAGGACAGTGTGATTTTGGGTCCAACTGCAGATTTTCCCACATGACAGAGCAGGACCTGGAGAAGCTGAGTGCTCAAGTTCAAGGTGAGTCCTCCCAAGAGGAAACGTCCAGGGGTCTCCTTGGAGGGGCAGTTGCTGCAGGGGGGGTTGTGCAGGCTCTGATCCTGCAGGGAGCCAGCAGAGCACAGATCCCTCGTGCCTGCCAGTGCTGTGTGAGCCTGGAGCCCGGGAATGCTGCTGTTTGTCATGTGCTCCCTGCTCTGGAGCTGCTGGCACAGACACAAACCTGGAGCTGGGCTGTGCTGTTACCACTTGGCAGCAAGAGTCTGGAGTGGGCTTTGTGAGCCCTCGGGGTTTTACTCAGTCAGGGAATAAAAACTGTCAGCAGCAGAGGGCACTGGTACATCACTTCCCCTAAAATTTATGGATTGGATTTCCCCCCACCTCTCTGCCACTACCAGGGAGCTGCTGCCTCCACCTGTGGGAAGAGCTGGCCTGCTGTGGGGCTGTGCTGAGGAGAGGACAGGGGGTCTTGGATCCAGGAATGGCCTCTGCTCGTGTGGCTTTGGGCAGAGGGTGGGTGACACCTGCTCCCTGCTGGGAGTCTCCAGAGAACTTCTGAACTTTCTCATTCTGGGACTACCACCTCTTTTCCCTAAAAGGGGTGACAGCTCTGTTTTCTCCATAGTGGTTGGAGAAAATCACAGAATCATGGGATGGTTTGGGTCGGAAGGGACCTTAAAGCCCATGCAGTTCCACCCCCTGCCATGGGCAGGGACACCTCCCACTAGCCCAGGTTGCTCCAAGCCCCGTCCAACCTGGCCTTGGACACTTCCAGGGAGTGTGAGTGAGGTGTTGGTGAGAACTTGTGGAATGGTTGAGATCTCCACTGGAGATCATCTGATCCCAACCTGCCCTTGCTCCAAGCAGGGTGCTCAGGAGCACTTCAGTTGTGTTTTGAATATCCCCAAGGCTGGAAACTCTGCACTCTGTGTGGGCAACCTGAGCCAGTGTTTGACTATGTTCACAATAAAAAATGTGTATTTTTTTAAATACTTAAATGGAAATTCCTTACAGAAATTCCTCTGTTTTGGGTTGTGCCCATTGTCTCTTGCCTTTGATGGATTCCCTCCAGTATGTCCAGTACAGGGAGCCCAGCACTGGGCACAGCACCCAGACATGGCCTCGCAGTCCTGCTCGACCTGCTCCCAGTGCAGCCCAGCTTGGAACAGCCCTCGTGCCCACCCTGCTCCCTGGAACCAGCTGTTGGGTTGCCAATAGTCTGGAAAAGCCAGGCTGAAACTGGAAGTGTGTGTGTGAGATGTGAGATGTTGGGGGGGGGTGGGTTAGAGCCTCTCCCGGCCCCCTGCAGGATCCGATCTGGGGAGGCAGAGCTCGGGGAAGGCACCACGGAGCTGTTCCAGCGCTCTCCGTGCCGAGTCAGTGTGCGACTGCCCGGGCTGACTCCGGATCGATCTCTGATCCACGCTGGAATCGAATAAACCTCCGCGGGGACGGATGCTCCAGCCCTCCCCGGAGGGCAGTGCCTCCAGTCCAGCCCGAACCCTCTCCCTGCCCGCTCCCTGCCGGGCCCCGGGGGCGGCACAGGGTGTCAGGAACCTGCGGCGTTCCCAGTCGGTGCCGGCTGTTCCTGCGGGGGAAGCGGGAGCTCCTTGGAGCGGAGCGGAGCTGCCGGGGAAGGCTGTCAGCTCCTGTGCGCTCGGGCAGCTTCCCCGCCGATTACCCTGCTTATTGAATATCGACTGCAGTCAAACGGGTCGGCTCGGAGCGCTGGATTGGCTGCCGAGAGCCGCGTCCGGGGGGATTCCTTGGAAACCTTGTATTTGTGTTAGGAGTGAAACATTTAATTTACCAATTAGCCCTGAAGCAGCGCTGGCCGGGGACTGGGGGGTGCCTGGTTGGGCAGTTCAGTCCTCGCCTCTCGTGTGTGTGGCTCTATGAGAATCCTGTGTGAGAAGAGCATCACACAGACCCTCTCTGGGATCAGAGAGCTTGGAGGGGTTTGGTGGAGTGACAGGCTCAGCAGGACTCGGTGGAGGAGAGGTACAGCCCTTACCAGGGACAGTGGGTGGAGGGATCAGCCGCTGTTGGTGTGATGTGGGGACGTTTCAGCCCAGGCATCCCTGTCTCAGGTGCTGGGTTGAAGGCAGGCTCGTGTGTGGCAGGTTGTGTTACACACACAGGAGACCTGATCCTCCATCAGGAAGGTCCCATTTGCATTCCCACCCACTCCTGGGGTTTCTGTGCCACGAGCCATGCCGGGCTGCAGCCAGCGGGATGCCCCAGCGTGGGCTGGAGCAGTGCTCTGGATCAGGCTGTCAGTGTCCACGGAGATTTCCCGGATGGGAGATTTTGACAGCCTTGGAGCCGGGGGTGGTGGGGATTTGAGATGAGCAGAGAGACTGGAAGCTCCAGAGCCTCCCCACCTTGTGTGACCGTGCCAGAGGTGACCAGGCTGGTGGGACAAAGGGGAGAGTCTCCTGGTGGGTCCACAATGCTGCTTAACCCCCCTTTCCTCAGCTCTGGTGCAGGCAAAGCCTCGTCTGACTTTTTTCTAACACTGCTAAACCGTGATGACACTTTTTTTGTCATGTAAATATTGAACCTGCCCCTGAGTCCCCTCGGAGTGTTTGGTGTTGGTAGCTCGCTAACAAGGCACTTTTATCACAGCCAAAGGAAACATTACATTGTCCTTAACATTTGGCCTTTTTAATGCAGGGAGTTCACCCTGCTGTTTGTGTAAGTCTTGTGGGTTAGGTAGGAAAATTTCTGGACAATTCCCTGTTCTAGAACAGCTTGGAGTGTGGCCTACTTTGGCTTCAGCATCTCTGCACCCTGTAGAATAGCCTCATCAAGAAGCAACAGTTTACACCTTTGGCGGGGAGGGAGAGATATTCCCAGCTGTTCCTGCATCAAAGCATTAGCCTGCTGCATCATTCATCAGCCAGACACTTCCAGGCTGTCATTTTAAGTACAGTCATGTCAGAAAAAGTCACTGTCAAATTACCATCTTCTTGCTCAGAGTTATTGGCTGCCCCTAATCCGTGTCCGTGGTGCAGGTGGGATCAACCCAGCCCGGGCTCTGATGAGCTCCAGCCAGGCAGGGCTGCGAGGGGAGGGCCAGGGCACAGCTGGGGGAGTGTTTCTGGTGTATCCATGAGATTGGAAGGACATGAGGGACCCTGCTGGGGTGGCTGGAGCCGACTGGTTTAACTGGGCGGTGAGCAGAAGAGCTCACAGTTGGCTGGGAGTGGTAACTTGTTCTGCTGCTCCTGGTGCAGGGATTCATCAGCCTCATCTCTCAGCCACAGTCTGGTGCTGTTCATGTGCTCTGGAGGAGTTTGGGGTCCCACATCACCCCCCCAGGGAGGCAGCTGAAGGATTTCATGAGCATCCCTTTGCTGGGTGACCCGCCCATCCTGGGGGTTCCATCTCTTGGACAGAGATGAAGAGAACCCCTGGGAAAAGTTGCATGGAAAGGGAAGGTAAATGTGGGCTCCCACTCTGGCATCATTAGAGGTGCTTCACCAGTACAGACACTCTGTTAATTGGCTGTAATTAGACTGTGAAACAAACACCACTGTGAGGAGGAGGGGAAGCCCCTTCACACCCGCTGCAGCCTGGCCACGTGTGGGGAGGAAGGGCTCGTAAAGGCCCTTCAGAGCTACTTCTTGGAATACCTGTTGGCATTCAGGGGGTGTTTCCAATCTCAAGGTGGGCTTGGTAGTCCCTGGATGGGATGTGTGTGCTCCAGAGGAAGATGAGATCAAAGAATGACCTTTTTGATGGACATGCATCAAGGCAGGAGAGTTGGCTGTCCCTGCTGCCCATTTCTGAGCCTGAGGGTTGGAATGCTCTGGAGCAGTAACTCAGAGAGCAGTGAGAACAGGGAGCCAGCTGGATATCTTTCTAAGGGGGACACCTGGGGCCTCATTTATCCCAGTGTGAGCCTGGAGTGGTCCCACTGCATGCAGTGAACTCTTCTGGATGGGGCTGTAAGTGGTGGCTGCTCAAGTCCCTGGACTCCCACCAGTTCCTGGTGTGGTGCTCAGGCTCCCTGCTCTGAACAGAGAGGCTTCATCTGCTTGTGGTGTGTTCTGTGTTGGGCTCTGGAGCTGGATGAAGAGGAAATCTTAGTGGCAGGAAGAAGTGGGAGAGGTTTCTCTCCACGATTTTCTTCCCTGCCTCGTCACAGCTGCTGCTGGTCCCCTTGCCAAGGTGGGATGTACCCGGGTGCTCAGGAGATGGAGACAGCTGGAACAAAGGGAAGTAAGGTGGTTAAGGTTGCCAGGGAAGTCTAACCTGGGAGCTGAACGTGGGTACCCTGAGTCTGAGCAGTGCCCAGCTCCCCAGACTGAGCTTCCTGGCTCTCCATTCCCCACCTGGCCGGGTGGCTGGGCTCACCCCAGGTAGTTCTGTTGGGGCTTTGATCCTTGGGAACAGCTGTAGAAGCCTGGAACAGCCCCGTCTCCAGCCTTATCAGCAGGTTGCAGAGCAGCACCTGGACATCAGGCCCACAGTGGGCTGTCTGTGGTGGCACCGAGCACATCGTCGCCCTCCCAGCAGCACCAGATGAAAAGGCTGGATGACAAATTATCCATCTCCGGCTGCTCATTGTGTAGCACATTCCTGCCATCCTTATTAATATTCAACAGGCAGATGAATAATTGGTTGCCAGCACGAGGATGAAGTGATCCTTCACTCTGCCCAAGCAGTATTAATTTCACACCCTGTCTGGAAAGGTGTAATGTTTTCCTTAAACGTGTGACATATGGTGGGTGGGTGTGGAGGGGGCTCCTGGGGGGCACGGCTGCAGCTGGCTCTGCCAGGCTGGCTGATCCCTAAGTGGGCTCAGGGATCCCCCGCTGGGCTGGGTGAGCAGGGCAGAGGGCAGTGGCACACAGCTGCCTCTGCTTGCCTTTTGTTGTCAGCAGCGTTTGGTTTTCCCAGGGTCACGTTCCCTGTTGTGTCAGGTGGGAAGTTTCCACCAGGCTGGAGATGTGATCGCTGGGAGCGGCTCCTCGTCCCGCCCCGCCTGTCGTGCTGGCAGCAGCGTGGCTGTGGCAGCCACAGTGTCAAGGACTCCTGCTAGACCCTGTTCTCTGCCAGCTCCCTCCCTGCTGCTGGGGACACTGGGCAGTTCTGCTAACTGGGCACCCCTGGAGTTGTGCCCAGTGAGAGGGACTGGTGAGCACTGGGCTGCCCCGCTGGCTCCGTGCCCTCCTGCCCGGGGAGGACAGAGTGTCTGCAGGACAGGTTTGTCTGCAGGTATCTGCCCCACACAACCCCCCCAGGATTGTGGGGGGTTGAAATGTTGGAAGGACCCTCACTGGACAGCAGAGGTTTCCTGCTGTTTTCCTTCCTCATTCCTAACTTGCATGGGAAATATAAGACAAGGAGTAATGGGTTCAAACTGAAAGGGAGGGAATTTAAGTTCAATGTCAGGAGGGAATCCTTCCCTGTGAGGATGGGGAGGCCCTGGCACAGGTTGCCCAGAGAAGCTGTGGCTGCCCCTGGATCCCTGGAAGTGTCCAAGGCCAGGTTGGAGGGGGCTTGGAGCAACCTGGGCTAGTGGGAGGTGTCCCTGCCCATGCCAGGGGGTGGAATGGAATGAGCTTTAAGGTCCCTTCCCACTCAAAGCTTTCCATGCTCCAAGTGCAGGAGCTGGTCCCTTGGCTCCCTGTGCCCTGGCTCTGCCCCCGTGCTGGTGGCAGCTCCAGCCCGGGCTCTGCAGGGCTGGGCACGTGTCACAGCGGGCACCAGCCCTGACAGCAGCTCTGACATCCCTGTGCCGGCTGTAACTGCTCCCAGAACCTCCCAGACTCTCCTGGCCTGCCAGGGCTGCAGCGACCCGGACACATGTCCCTGTCACTCCCACCTAATGGGGCAGAGGTGGCACAGTCCCTCCTGCCAGGTGGAGGGTCTCTGGGAGCGGCTCCAGGCTCGGGGCCAGCCCAGGCTGTTTGAGGCGAGGATGAGGATGATCTGCCCCGGGGGGAGATGTCACTCAGTGCCACTGTGCTGGCTTAGCCCTTGTCCCTGGCTCTGCCTGGCTGGAGCTGTCACCAGGGATGACTCCAAGCATCAGATGGCAGGAGGGCAGAGGAGGAGGAGGGGCTGCTGCTGTTCCACACTCTCTCCACCACAGGAAACCGTGCAGGGTAATGAGCAGCAGGTTTATTGGAGTGAAAGGACTGCAGCACCAGGGTCTGGTGGTCTCCCGGCCCTCCCTCTGATCCAGCTCTTCCTGATGTCTCCCTCTCTCAACCAGGGGAGAAGAGGCTGAAGGAGCTGCGGCAGGAGGGAGCAGATATCCCACCTGGCACCATCGAGGACTGGCTGGAGAAGAGAGCCCAGAGACTGAGTGCGGCTCAGAGCAACAGGTACAGGAGTCTGGGGTCACCCAGGTGTGCTCTGGCTGCTGCTGCTGTGCCTCAGGATGCAGGGGGGGATCCCACAGCAGGGGTGGGATGGGGGAAGGTGTGGGTTATCAGAGATCCCAACTCCATGGGAGTGATCATTTAACACCCCTCCAGCACACATGAGGGGCACGTGTGTGGATCCAGCCCTGCCTGCCCGTGTCAGAGACGTGTCCACGCGTGTCCCTGCGTGCCAGGGGACAGTCCAGGCCTTGGGAAGAAGCCACACCCGAGGGTGCTCCGTGCTGTCTGCAGGGTGCACAGACACTCCTGCAAGGACAATGCCAGCGTGCTGCCAAGTTATTAATGCAGAGTTTGGTGGCAGGGGCCTGGTCTCATCTGTTGACAGCTCTCCCATCCCTGCCTGCCCTCCCTGCCGGGGGGAGGGTGGAACTGGCTCCTCCTCACAGTATCCACTCGGATTCCGTGCTGGCTGTTTCCCGGCTCACCTGACTGTGCCGCAGGCTTAATGGGATGACATTTGGGCACGTGCCAAATCTCTCTTTTGTTCTTTCTCTGTTTGCTCCTGTCCTCTCCCTGTTTGGCCCGGGTAGGATCTTCCTTCTGCCGCTTGTCTGGGCTTGTTGCTGTGTGATTGTTCTGTCCCTCAGCTCAGCTGCCCTTGGTCCTGCAGTGGTGCCCACATTCCAACCCCTACACTTCATTTGCCCACTCTGCTTGTCCTGCCCGTGAATCCCTGGATCTTGGGGTGGATCAGCTCTTACAGAAGATAGCCATCCCTGTTCCCAGAGGGGTTTCCTCAGAGGATCATACTCAGAGGAATGTCCAGACCTTCAGAACTTGGTCCCTGCAGCCTCCATAGATGCCCAAAATTTCCAGGGTTGTTGCCTTTTCCCCAGCCTCTCTGTCCCTGCAGGCTCAGAAACCATCTGCTACGGGAGCTAAACACCAACTATTTAAACTTCCCTTCCTCTACCCAGCCTTTCCAGTGCCTGTCCCCGTCCCCTCTCTTCTCCCCTTGTGCTCTGCAGCCCCACATTCTCCTGAGCTCCCGTGGGCTTTGCTTTGTCTGCCACAGAAGCTGTTCTGCATTGCCAGGGCCTGTTTCCAGCAGGTCCCTGTGCTCCAGGTTCCTGGGGAGTCCATTGTGTCCTTCCCGAAAGCCCTTTTAAGGACAAGGAGCTCCCTCTCCCCCCTGCAGCCCTCGAGGTTCCTGAAATGTGAGGATCCTTTGCACCATGCTGGACTAGCAGTCCATGTCCATGGATGGGGAGCTGCCCCACTGCCTTCCAGCTTTTCCTGTCCCAGCCATTTGGAATCCTCCACCTGGTGCCTGTTTCCCAAGTCAGGCTGTGCCTTTGTTTTCTGGAGAGCTGGGATGGAGCTGTGGGGAGTTCCTGGGGCTTGGAGCACCCTGGGCTAGTGGAAGGTGTTCCTGCCCATGGCAGGGGTGGAAGGAGATGAGCTTTAAGAGCTTTAAGGTCCCTTCCCACCCAACCAGCCGGTGATTCCATGGTTCTCTTGGCAGTAGAGCTCTCCCAGGGTGGGATTGATTTTTACCCTGATTTCCAAGGGAAACAGAGAGTGTTGATTTCCATCAGAAACAAAACTTGCTGATTTCCATCAGAAGAGGGTCTGAGGCCTCAAAGCCTCCGAGATACCACAAGTTTCATGAGCCTGGGAGAGGCTGAAGGGGAGGGATCCCCTTAACACCTTCTAAGGAAAATACTCTTGACCTTGCTCAACACTGGAGGATCCACATGGGACAACAGCTCCAGCTGTAGGCAAACCTTTGATAGCACTTGTAGCTTATGAGGCCCCAGGGAATTGAGAACCCAGGCAGCATCTTCCCTATTGATTAGTGCTGCTGCTCACGGAGCAGCTCGTTAGGTGATGGCTGTGCTGTTCCACCCTGCAGCATTCCCTTGTCCTGAGCCACAGGGCTGGGCTGTGACACCAAACACCCCTTCCCCGAGGGGCTGCTGTGTGTCCTCACAGTCCTGTCTCATCCGGGGGATTCTCTAGAGAATCCCCATCCCGGGGATAAACCTTAAGCCGAATGACTTTGCCCTGTGTTGTTGGCTGGAGAACACTCTGCTCCTGGAGCTGGCTCTGGGCCAGGGCAGCGGCCCCGCAGGGAGGGGAGGGTGCTGCTGCTCCCTGGAGTTATGTAAAACAGTTTGATTAGGTTTCTCCTGGCATAACAATTAAAAAGATTCATCAGGATCTGAGGCAGAGGCCTGAGAAGCTGCAAGGCTGCTGTCAGGGCTTGTGGGAGAGAACAAATGAGCTTCCTGCACTCAGGAATTAATGGAAAGGGTACGTTTGCCATGAATTTAAACCTGCCCAGGTCAAGCTGGAGACGAAGTGATGCTTCTTGCTCTTGCACTTCAGCCCAGTGTGGTGTTTGCAGGAGCCTCAACCAGTAAACCTGAGGGAGAGAGGCAGGGACAAAGTGATTCCCAGGCCGAGGGGTGGAGGAGGAGAGGCCTGTTCCCTCTGCTGAAGGGTCCTTGGGTGAAAACACCCCATTGGTTTGGCAGCTCCTCCATTTCCGAGGGGTCCTTGTCCTTTAGGAAGTGCACAGCTGGGCTGGGATTTGGGCTGCTTGGGAAGAAACATCTGCTGGTTCTGTTTGTTCCTCTCCCAGCTCAGCTGTGGGAGGAGTGGGGAGCGGAGGGGACGGGGCCAGCCCTGCTCCCAGCACCCGGCTGTGCCTGCTGCCGCTGCCCCTCGGGGGGGCTGTGCCTGCTCACCCCCCTCGGTGCTCCCACCTGAGTTTCCACTGGCAGGCACTGCTTTAGGGAGCACTGGCTGCTCGGATGGGCTGGGGATGGTTACACAGCCGGTCTGGGGCTGGATTTGGGATGGGGGGATGGGAATATCCCCACTTAGTGATAACCAAACCCCTCCTCTACTGGAGGGGGCACGGGGAAGCCCAGCCCAAGCATGGCCTTGCTGCCCAACTGAGACCCCCCATCTCACCCCATCCCTTTCCCTCTCCCCCTCACAGTGCTCTTCCCGAGAAACCGGCGCCGTTCCAGTACCCCCCGGGCTGGCCCCCAGTGCAGGAGCTGCCCCCGTCCCTGCAGGCCCCCCCGCCCGGGGGGTGGCCAGTGCCCCCCACCCTGCAGTGGGGCTGAGGGAGCACCCCCGGAGCGTGGCTGGGGCTGGAGTCCTGTCTGTGCCCCGGGAAAGGGACGGAGTTATTTGTCTGCACTTTTATACCAATAAAACCCTTCCCCCTCCCTCGCAGCCTGTGCCTGTCGTGTTCCTGCTCTCCCACAGCCTCCCCTGGGCTCAGCTGCTCCGAGGTTGTCTCCCTGCCTCTGGAATGTGGATCCGTGCTCAGCAGAGCTCCGGCCCTGCTCAGGGGCTGTCTGCTGTCACCTGGAGCAGACATTCCCTGTTTCCCAGGGCAGGATCCGTCCCCTTGGAGCGCTGCTGTCTGCACTGCCCGCTCTCAGTCCAGCTCCACGCTGGGCTCCGTGATCCAGGCTGGAGAAGGGAGCTGCAACCAGGCTTTTGGAATTGATGTTTAATTTCCTCAGGTGTTTATGACTTGTGCTGGTTCCTGATAAATTCCGGGTGTGAAGCTGCCTGTGTCCAGGAGCTCCTGGTGAAGAGCCTGGGGAGCCCCCTCAGCCCTGCTCCTGCTCCTGCTGTGCTGGGGGCGAGGGGCAAGGAGGGAAAACATCCCCAGGTTTCTCCACAGGGAGAGTTTCTCCAACTTATCTCTCCTCACCAGGAAAGGGGTGGATGAGGGAGGCCCTTGGCTTTCTCAGCAAGGGAAGTGGATGTTCCAGCTTCCCTGCAGGGGGGGGGATCCTGTCCAGCAGCATCCCGGGATGCAGCTCTCCGGCAGCGGGGCTGTCCAGGAGGGCTGTGCCCGCTGCCAGTGCATTCCAGGTTTGGCCGGCACGGAGCTGGTGGGTCCAGATTCATGAAGAGCAGGGGCAGCAGCCAACTGCCTGTGGCCAAATCCCGCCTGGATCACGCTGACACAGGGCAGAGCTCCCGCCTCGGGATGTGATGGCAAATTGTCACGGGAGCGTCAGCCCCTGGGACCCAGCTCTGACAGGAGCAGGGACTGGATGTGACAGAAGCCTGGAAACAGCCTTGGCCCGAGCCTGGAGGAGCTCTGAGCCAAACTAGAGGTGTTTTTATCCTTCCAGCAGGAGCCCTGGGCTTGCTGGAGAGCGGGAGCACAGGGCCTGGGATCAGCCCTGTGTCCCTTCCTCAGTTTCCTATGCAGGAGGTAACAAACATCCACTTGGGAGTGAATTTGGGGGTGAATCAGGGTCCCTTGGAGCACCTCCAACACAGAGGAACCCCGGGAGCTGCGGGATGCTGGCGTGCTCCAGAGTGGGAGCATGAGCTGTGCCTGCTCTCTCCAAGCTTGGAAGTGCATCCCTGCACCCCCAGCCTGGCTCGAGGGAGAACCCCAAGGAGCTGGGGAATGCTGGGGCCTGTCCCCCTCAAGCCCTGCTGACTGGAGGGGGACAGTGGCTTCTCTGCTGGTGGCAGCAGGAGCTGGGACATGGACATGGACACCCAGCGAGGCCACCGGCACTGACGGATCAAGGAACTCCCACTCTTGTCTCTCTCACAGACTTTTTTGTTTCCCAGTCAAGCATCAAAATCCTCCCCTGCTCCTCTCCTGGGTTTGGAGCTGTGCTTCCATCAACCCCCCAGGCCCATCCGTGCTCTGTGTGCTCTAGTCCTGGTGGGTTTTCCAGCTGATCCAGGAGGTGTTGCTTTACCCAACACTCCCAAACTCCACAGCTCCAAAACTGCTCCCCAGATCCAGCTTAAATTTGGTAGAGAGACACATCTCTGGTGGAAAGGCCGAGCTCCCGGCAGCTCCCTGGGTGAGCTGTGGAGCCCGACTGTAAATGAAAGTTCGTTGTAAAACACAACAGCCACAGCCTCTCCACACTCTGCCTGAGCTGCTCCTGGAGCAGAAATTCCCAATAAAACTGGAAAGGCAAGAGCAGGAGCGTTCCCTGCTGAGCTCCAGCCTGTCCTGGGGAGTGAGAGGGGCCGATCAGGGGGGTTAATTAAAACAGGGGTTTTCCCACAAAAGCTTGTGTGATCTGTGGCCCGTGGGCTGCATTCCCTGCAGGATGTCGTGGATCCACGGAGCTGAACGTTCCCTGCGGGACGTCAGGGATTCCCAGAGCTGTGTAACCCCCGGGGGCTCGGAGGGGGCCGTAAATTGCAGGTTTCTGGGGGTGTTACAGCAGTGTCAGGAGATGTAACGATGCCATGGATCAGCACCGGGATGGGACACGGCCCCTGTGGGCTCATCCATGGAAAAAGGCCATGGGAGGAGGACAGGAACAGGACGGGGCTCCCGGCTCCTTCCTTCCCCCGGGGATGGCTAGTGCTGGATCCCAAGGGATGCTGCAGGGATGGACTCACGTCCCCGGGGTGGGGGTGAGGAGCTGCTACCCGATCGTGGAGCACGAGCCAAAGTGCCTTTGCTGGAGCAAGAGCTGGAGTAATTTATCGGGAAGCTTTTAGGGAAATGAGGCCCTGCTGGGCCCCGGCCAAGCACAGCCCCGCTGGGCTCTGCCCGTGTCCTCTGGCAGCTCTTCCCGGGAGAGGGACGGGAATGGGAGTTGGAATGGGGACGGGATGGGGACAGAGGTGAGGGCAGGACAGGGGCAGGGATGGAAATAGGGATGAGGATGGGGACAGAATGGAAATAAGGATGGGAATGGGACTAGGGATGAGAATAGGAATGGGGATGGGGGGGGTCAGGGACAGGGATCAGGGGAAGGGAGAGGGGACAGGGATGGAAATAAGGATGGGAATGGGGATGGAGAGCAATCAGGGATGAGGATGGGACAAGGACAGGGATGAGATGGGTGTGGAGATGGAGATGGGGGCAGGGATGAGGATGGGACAGGGATGGGGGTAGGAATACTGATGGAGATAGGGACAGGGTGAGGATGGGATGGGTCTCGGGATAGGGAGATGGGAAAGGGACAGAGAGGAGAATGGAAATTAGGATGGGAGTGGGACTGGGAATGGAGATGGGGACAGGGATGAGAACAGGACAGGAACAGGGATGGGGGGGTGGGACCAAGACAGGGACAGAGCTGAGCCCTTCTCACACTCCTTGCAGCACCAGAGAGAGAAACAACCACCACCAACTTCTTCCCTTCCTATCCCAAACGCTTCCCAGTGCTATGGAACCGCACCCTGCCACTCCTCCTGCTTTGCTGCCACTTTTGCTCCTTCAATCCCCTTGTCCGGGGACCCTACACAGGTCCTGCTCCCTCCCACCTCCCCTCGCCCGCGGCAGCCCCACCTCCCGGCACATTCCCTTTTTTTTTTCCCCCTTTCCTGGCGCTCCCTGAATTGAATTATCCCGGAGCAGCCGCATGATCCGTCCCCGCTGCGGCAGAGCGGGAGCGCGGCCGGGACGCTCCTGCATCCCGCCTGCTCCAGAGCTGGATCTGCCGTCCCCAAACCTGCCTGAAGAAATCCGTTCTCCCAATTCCCGTTAAAATTAATTGGGCCGCTTTGAAACGCTGAGCTGGAGGGGGGGGGGGATCACCTCATTCCTTTTATCTAATTTGTTTCTTTTATGTCATTGTATTTTCTGACAAATTAAATTGTCCTCGTTTCCTTTTTGCTTCTCTTCTGTTTGTTCACAGTGTCTGTAACAGACCTGGTTAAAAAAAAAAAAGAAAAAATATATATACATACACGTATGTCTCTGAGGCCACGTGGCTCCTTTGGAAATGCCACTTCATAAAAAAATCCAAACTTTCTGTGGGGAGATGGATGACATTTCATTACGGACACGGAGCCTCCCGCACTCTGCGAGGCAGCCGGAATGATTTCATTGCCGTGGAGCACTTCCCATTTCCATTCCTCATTTGGATGTTGGCTTCAATTTGTTTGATAAATTATATAAGATAAAAAAAAAAAACCAACTCCACCCAACCCCCAAATCAATGGAAACGCCGCCGATTCCTCCCGGCATCCCAAAAACGGGGTGTCCTCCCGCGGTGCTGCAGGGTGGGAGGTCCTGTGCCAGGGCAGGGAAATGGGTTTTCCCCATGGGATCAGCCAGGGTCCCAGGGATGTGAAGGTGGGGATGGCCTGGGATGGGCTCCTCCAGCCCCGTTCCCATGGGAGGAACCCCCTGGCACTGCCCGTGGGGAGGGGCAGCAGCTTTGCCCGATTCTCCCACAGCCCCAAACGCTTCCCCGATTTTATTTATTCCTTTAATCTCTTTGCCATTAAAAATGCAAAGAGGGGGATCCATTAGGTGGGAATGGGCCCCCCCAGCACAGGAAGATGTGAGGCCGTGGTGGTTCCCGATGTCCCTCAGCGCAGGAGGGTCACACCGGGGCCAGGCCCCTCCGTGGTGGAAATGAGGGGTGACGGGGTGTTCCCTCCCTGCCAGCCTTGGGGCAGGATCCCCAGCCCAGCCTTGGGGCAGGATCCCCAGCCCAGCCCAGGGATGGTGGCCCCACGGAGCCTCTCTGAGCCCCCCAGCCAGCTCCTGGTTCCCCTGGAATTACTGTGAAGTTGGGTGAAAGCATTTTTGGGAAGGGGCTTCAGCTTGTCCTCCTTGCCAAGGCAAATGGGCTCGAAACATCCATCAAAGCCAACATGAAATATCAGGGATAAAACCACCCAGATCCACTGGGAAAGGGCAGGACCCCCAGCGGGATCCACAGCTGGAGTGGGATGGGGGACATGGAGCTGTCAGGAAGGAGCCAGGTCCTGGCTGCCCCCAGGTTTGGGGACGCTCCAGCCCCTTTGGGATGCCAGGAGGCCACGGATCCCCCACCCACCACCCACTCCCTTCCCAGGAGGACTCATCCCCCTCAGCATCACCCCCGGGTGCTCCCACGGCCCTCCACCCCCACCCTGCTCCATCCCCCCCGTGTCTCCAGGAGCCCCCACAGCCCAGAGCGCTTCAGAAATCCCACTTTTATTTCAGATCGGAAACAACCAACCAGGAAGAACGAAAAAAAACCCAACCCACCCCAAACCCCAAAAACTCCCCCCAAAGAATGAGAAACGGCCCCAAATCCGAACCAGTCCAGTGCCCAGGTGGGTGCTACATACAGGCTGGGGGGCTCGGGGGGCTCGGGGCTCCCCGGGCTGGGGTCGCTCCGGCTCTTCCCAAGGGGGGTCGGCTCAAAGTGCATCAAGCAGGAGGTCAGGAATGTCCCCGCACTGGGCAGGTGGGGAAATCGAGGCACGGCACAGGGAGGGGGGACAGGGGGGGGCTTTGAGGGGGGGGGTGAAATCCAGCCCTTGGCAGCCAAGTCCATGCAAACGCTCCCGGCTCTAGGAACCATCTCAGGCGCGTGTATTGCTTAGGGGATGATTTGGTTTATCATAAATACGAGCTATAACGTTGGATCGGAGTATCCGGCGGGATCCGCCGCGGGGGGGGCGCGGGCCCCGGCGCGGGGAGGGGGCACACGGGGCTCCATGCACGTTCCATGCACTTACGGGTTGGTTTTTGCCCGGCGAGGGGGGCTCGGGGGGCGGCGGTGTCGTTACCGAAGTCTCCATGCGATGGCACCGCCCCGGCACGGCGGGGACACCCCCGGCCCCTCGCCGCCCCCCTCCCGGGGGGGGCACGTCTCTGGGCCACGGATGGATGTACAGATAGATATTTATATATATTTATAGCTCTCTCCTGCTCGCCGCGGGGCCGCGGGGTGACCCCACTATTTCATGCCGCTGCGCAGCACCTGGTTGGCGGCGATGAGCATCACGCTGATGATGAAGGCGATGGCGAAGGCGCAGATGAGGCTCTTCCGCACGCAGGTCTGGCGGATCTGCTGGCTGGAGCAGGCTGGGGGGAGGAGAAAAACAGGGGGTTACCCCAAAAACACCCTCCCCAAACCGCGGCGGTGCCGCCCCGCGCCGTCGGTGCCGGGGGCGTTCGGCATCCCCGGCCGGGCACTCACTCTCCACGTCCACGGGGCACTCCTCGGCCGTGCCCATGTGACTCTCCTCCTCCGTCATGATGATGTTCTCGATGTCCTTCATGGACAGGTGCTCGCAGAAGGTCTCGTACAGCAGCCGCTTCAGCTCGTCCACCGTCAGCTTCTGCATGTCACACTGCGGGCACCGGGGTCACCCCGCGGGCACCGGGGTCACCCCACGCCGAGGGGGGGCTACGGGGCCTCCCCCACCACCCTGGGGTGTGGCACTTTGGGGCCTCCCCACCACCCTGGGGTGTGGCACTTTGGGGCCTCCCCACCACCCTGGGGTGTGGCACTTTGGGTGGGTCCCCCCGGTCTGGTGTCCTGGTGACCCCCCCGTGGGTGTTGGCACCAAACACCCGCCCGTGGGGGAGAGGGGGCAGGAAAGCTGAGATTGGTGCACTCTGATCCTGATCCTGACCCTGATCCTGATCCTGACCCTGATCCTAGTGATTGCACTAACCCTAAACTGGAGTCTGAACCTGAGCAATCCTGACTCCAACTCTAAACCTGACCTTAACCCTGATCCTAACCCTGGCTCTGACCCTAAACATGATCCTAACCCTGTCTCCAACCCTAACCCTCATCCTAAACCCGACCCTGACCCCAAATCTGACTAAACCCTAACCCTGACCCCTTAAACCAGTGCTGACCCTGACACTTAAACCTAAGCTGGAGCCTGAGCTGGACCCTAACCCTAATCCTGATTCTTAAACCAACATTAAACTTGACCCTGACCCAGAGCCTGATCCTGACCTTCACCCTCACCCTAATTCCACCCCAACCCCAATCCCACCTTGAGCCCGACCCCAGCCCCAGCCCTGCCCCTTTCCCGGAGCCCCCCAGAGCTCTGGGTGGGGGTTCTGGGGCGCTGCCCCCGGGGTGGGGGGTGTTTGTACCTTCCAGAACACGGTGTCGAAGTCGGTGCCGTGGAACTTCTCCGGGATGCCCGAGGTGGACAGTTTGGGCCCCAGTAACGTCACAAACTCCTCAAAGTCCACCTGCCCATCGCCTGTGGGACACAGGGACACGTGTGACACCCCCCAGAGGGGTTGCAGGTGGGGACACCCTGCCTGGACTCGGGGATGCTCAGATATCCCCACCCCATGGGGGTCCTGCTCCAAGCCATGGTGTTTTTTGGGAAGATCCCACACCAGGGCTTGGCGCTGCCTGGGGACCCTCCCTGGGGCAACCTGGGGGGACCCTGATCCTTGGGGGGCTCAGGCAGAACCCAGATCCCCCCAGATGTCCACCTGGAGCAGCAGTTGGTGTTAAGAAACCTTGGACTTCACCAGCCAGGACCCCCAAACTGGCTGAGGACCCCCAATACCTGCCAGGACCCCACAGCAGGGACTCCCCAGATCAGCTGGGAACCTCCAGTAAAGTTGGTCCCCAACTGAGGACCCCCAGTGTGACTGGGACTCACACTGGACCCCCCCAGTGTGAGCTGGGGACCCCAAATGTTGACTGCCCCCCTCCCAGAGCTGGCTGGGGAACCCCAACATCATCCCAGACCCCAATTCCAGGCGGGACCCCAATACCATCTGGAGGCCTCCCAGTGCCAGCTGGGGACTGTCACTGCTGTCTGGGGACCCCCAAAACCAACCAGGGACTCCAACACTGGGTGGGGACCTCCAGCAAAGTTTGGGGTCCCCAACACCAGCTGGGACTGCCAACACTGGCTGGAGCCCCCAGTGCTGGATGGGGACCCC